TTGTTGTGTGTGGGCCCACTTTCCCTTCTGGCTGGGGCTTCTTGGCTGTTGTGTGTCTCCAAAAAAAGCTGTAGCAGCCAAGCAGTGTCTGTGGTGTGTGCTCTGCAGAGCAGTGCTTGGGTAGCAATCAACTGGAGCCTGTGTTGGGCTGGCCAGCACCCTCCACAGAACACGATGACCTGCTCAGCCACACTTTGATATGAAACTGCTTGAGCAGCTTTTCTCATGGTGTTTATTGCTGCCAGCAAAAGGCTTTTTGTACGTGGGACCAAGATGAAACTGCTCCACTGCCTCCTCCTGAAGCCTTTCTGGCTGGCCCTTTGACAGAGATCACTTGTTTTCCTGTGGGTGGCCAGGCAAGCAAACAAGTACCTAACACGAGATTTGGAGCTCGTGGTGCTGGCAGTGCTTTGTCTGGCCCTGCCTCCTCCCCAGTGCAGCCCAGTCCTGTTCCATTTGGGGGATAAATTTTCCCTTATTCTTTTGGAAATGGGATTTCTCTCTGGAGCTTTGGAGTTTGGTGATGTGGGGGTTTTTGTTGTTTTGGTTTTTTTTTTTTTACTTTGCTCCCAGGTTTTTATCTTGATAATTACAAAGACCTTTCTGTTCTAATTGCCAAAATATGACACATTCCCTGTAAGCAGCAGCCTGCCAGACTTTAGGTGGGCTGTTAAAGCCCTTGGAGCTGATCCTGAAAGCTGTGATCTCTGCAGTTTGGGAATGATGCAGTTATATTTTCTGAACAAACACAAATGGTGTATTTGCCACATTATCCCATCAGCAGAAATGCACTAAAATGCCATGAGGCTGTTGCTACAGCCCTTGCTGAGCACAGATCTGCTGTCAAAATCAAAAGGGGGTTTGGATGGAGGATCCTGTATTCAGCATGTGGTGTCCACCTCACGTTATTTACATACATGTTGACTTCAGAAAAAACAACTCAGTTGTTTTTCAACAAAGCAACAGATGTTCAGAAGGCCCCTGAAGGCAAACTTTAAATGAAATGGAGATCAGGTCTGCAGGCCCCTGAAAAGGGTGGAGAAGGCTGTATGGTTTGGGGGGCCTCTGGATGGTCCCTGCCCTCTAATTGCTGCCATATCTCAGACCTTGACAAGTTCCTGCTCCTGTCAAAACTCATCCAAGCTGTGCCAGTGGAACTGAGATTTAATGCCAGACTCAAAGTCAGCTTTTTATGGCAGGATTGTCTCCAGTCCATGAGAGTGAGCATGGTCAAGTCCATGCTCAACTTCCCAGTTGCATTGAAGGGAGATGCTGGACTCCTTGCCATCCTCCTTGGGTTTTTGTTTCAGTTTCTTTTGCTGGAGTTGTTCTGCTTTCTATAAATAACAACTGGAGCAGAAGTGGCAGCTCCGGGCCTTGCTCTGAGTTGTGCCAACAGTGGGCTGCTCTTGGTGTAAATTGTTTTTTTGGGAAATTAGTGCTGAAAGAACCTGGGTTTGTGATGAAGAGGAAGGGGAAAGAACTTGTGAGCTGTCAGAAAGTGCTTGCTGTGAGCTGGGAGAGTGGCACAACTGGAGTCCTGTCTGCCCTGGGAGCTGCTGTAGGAGCCACTCGTGATCTGGTCCAGATGCTGAGAGAGGTTATTGAGAGCTTTTTGCAGCTTCTCTGGGTCCCATTTTGGTGCCTTGTAGCTGCCCAGTTTGTGCTCTTTTGCACAGAAGCTGTGGAGATACTGAACCACTGCAGTGACAGTGTCATGGGAAACAAGTCCCTGCAGAGCCATGTTCCCTGTGGTGCCAGCCCAGCAGAGTGTGTCTGTTGTGGGATTTGTGTCTATTTGCATTATACACCAAGAGTGTTTTCCCACTGCTGCACATGAACCTTCATTTATTCTGTATTTAACCACTGGTTCTGGCAGCCTGGCTTGCAGAGACTTGGAGCAGCTGCAGCTCCT